TTACCTCTAGCTGGCCTTTGAAGTTCTTGGGTTTGCCTTTTGGAGTCCAATTATAGAAAAATGCACAAAGAAGTTAGCAGTTTAGAAGAGAAACTACATCTCCCCCGGGGGTCGTATCACCTTAATAAAAGCTACTATAACAAACTTGCCAACTTACTTTCTCTCGGTCTTTAGGGTGATTTTGAAGGTGGAGAAAATTATGAGGGATTTCTTGTGGGAGGTTGGGGAAGGGAGGAAGGGTCATGTGGTTAGGTGGGAAATAGTGTGTAGGAGGAAGGGGTAGGGGGGCTTGGGCTTAGGCAATTTAAGGAAGAAGAATACAGTTTTGCTAGGCAAATGGCTGTGGAGATGACCTCTAGAAAGGGAAAAACTTTGGCACAAAGTTGTAAGAAGTGTGCATGGTGATGCAGATAATGGTTGGGATGCTAGTGTATCTCGGTAGGCTACACTGAATTCTCCATGGAAGGCTATTCATAGTATTCAACCTGTTTTCTTGAACCTGATCAGGTATGATGCTTGTACTAGAGATAGGGTTTTGTTCTGGGAGGTTGTTTGGATTGGTGACTTCACCCTCAAGGATCTTTTCCTCTTCTTGTATTCCCTTTCATGTTTTAAAAATGAGTCAATTCAAAGGTTTGTGTCCTTTTCCAATTCCTCTGGCCTCAATTGGAATTTGGATTTTAGAAGAGATTAAGTGATTTTGAGCTTGACCAGGTTGCTTTGCTCCTTAAATACTCTTGATCCTATTTGCTTGAACCCTTCCTCCCTAGATGCTCGCATTTGGAAGCCTTTGTCCCTGGGCTCCTTTTCTTGTGCTTCCTTCTTTGCCTCCTTGTGTACCTTTTCTTTGCCTCGGCCTTTTCATAACAAGGAGGTTTGGTCCAAACCTGTCCCTCCAAAAGTGGGAGCCCTCTGTTGGGAAGTCTCTCTTGGAAAATAAACACCTTGGATGTTTTGCAAAAAGGAAGACCTAGTCTTTTTGATCTTTTTGGGTGCAGGTGGACAGAACCGGAGCAGATTTGTAGTCTCTTAGACCCTACAACTTTTAGGTGGTCAAAGAGAAGAGGAAGAGTCTTGTGGAGGTGTGCTAGAGCTGCTTTGGGGTAGACTATTTGGGAGGAACGAAATGCCAGAATAGGGCCATATGTTGGCTAAAATACATGTACCTGTTCTCACCCTATTCATTCGACGATATAAGGAGGAATTGGGAGCAAGTAGCCAAAAAGTTCTGAAGTCAGAAACAAGCCTTTGGTGGAATGGAAGTCTCCTGATGCAGGTGTTATTAAATTAATTTTTGATGGCAGCTGCTTGGGTAACCCGGGACCATCAGGAATTGGAGGAGATTCAGTTAATGCAAAAGTCCAAGCTGTACTACAAGGAATAGAAATTTCAAAAGAGATGGCAGTGGAGCATTTATTGATTGAAGGTGACTCCAAATTGGTTATTGGATGGCTAAAATAGCTGGAGATGGCAGCCTGGCCTTAAGGGGGGTCCTTGAGAAGATTTAAGTGGCTAATATCAAATATCTCAGTTACAGTTCAATGGGAAAGAAGACCAGCAAATGGGCTGGCAGATTTTCTAGCCAAACAATGTGTACATTGAAATCAGCTCTTTTGGGCTCACTTGTAAGCTTTATGATGTAGTTTAGAGGTCACACCTTTTGCTTCTTTGCGGGGAATTGTATGATGTATTGTGTTCTCTTTTGTTTTTAATTAACAAAATTACCATTATCTATAAAAAATGCATATACACAGATTTTACACATAAGCATGCATATCTATAATCAGAAAAAGACATCTTTATATAAATAAAATGCATAATATGTGTGTATTTCTACATGTTTGTGCATAAGTGTAAGTTGATGTTAATCATATACATATTGTAAATAACTTATTATACTTTAGGATGTTAGTATAAATATGTAATGTACATACACATGCACAAGTAAGGTGCATCTTGAGGTTTGCACCTCACTTGAACCAAGATAGGCCACTTTTAGAATGCACTCACTTGGCTTGAGGTGCAAGGCCACATAAGGGTGTGCTTTTTTCTTAGTTTCATTTTTTTATTTGTATATATTCTTATGTGTATTACACCATTGTCCTAGTCTAATTGTAGCCTCTTATTGTTGTTTGTATCCTGGTAATAGTCTATTAACTTCTAAAAGTAACAAAAACAAAGACATTTTGAATGCCTAAAGTGAGGTATGCAATTAAGAGACAAATAATCATGCTGAGAGTTTTAGAAGCTTTAATTGCTGAATGCTTGAAGCACTTTGGTAAGTGGTACTATCTGCATCTGCACCCTCTCATCTCTTCTTCTTCTTCTTCTTCTTCTTCTTCTTCTTCTTCTCCTCTCTCCCCCTCTCTCCCTCCCTCCTGTTTTATTCTTCTTTCTTCTATTTGTTGTGCTTATTTCTTTAAGAGTACTGGTTTGGTAAAAAAGGATTTAAATGTCTAATATAGCTTTCTCTATTCTTGTTGTTTTAGGTTCCATTTTTTAATTATCAAATATTTAGCTTGACTATGATCTGATTCTTGTATAAGAATTTGGAGTTACTATTTATGTCAATTCTACTTCAGGGTTGTGGATTGTTTTGACTTTTGCAATCAATCGCATGGTTTCAGGAGCTGATAAGCCTCAACAGAATTAGTACTATCAAAACTCGGCTCTTAGGGAGTCCCCATAAGCATTGGGCCTAAATATGTTGTTAATATAATATAGTGCCATTTTCATCTTCAAAACTCCACTATTCTAGAGGGTCCCAGATTTCCAATGCAGCTTCCATCAAAATTAACTATTTTTTATAGTAAAATAAAATTTTACTATAAATCAATTCTACTAGTTGGTTCTCATTGCATTTGAGCCATAACTCTGCTAGTTGATAAATCAACAACCTTTAACCATCCTTTAATAATGTCATGCCATCCATGTAAAACAGGGAAAATATGTCTGTGGTCTTTGAACAATGCACCGCTTCCATTGATGCTCTCAATAACTGCTTCTATACTGCAATTTTACCCATTGAAGATCCTTTACTTCTTAAATTGTTCAGAAAACCACTGCCCTAGTGCATTGCCACATGATCAAGCAAAATATGTTGCTTGGTTAAACAAACTAGCAACATCTGTCGGAGGTGTCCACCTGCAGCCACAGAGAAAAACCACTCCAAATATAAGAAATAAATGATCAAGAGATTAGTAAATGGTAAGTAGTCTCTCCACTTACAATACAAAGAAGGCATATATGAGAGGATAAGTACCAATTTGATCTCTCTTTAAGAGTATCACAAGTGTTGTTTTTTTTTTTTTCAGAGCAACCTCCTAGCAAAAGCACTAATTTCTAGGGGCACAGGTCTACCCCATACTTTGACTAGAAAAGGTTGTGATGAAAGAGGGGAAAAAGAGAGAACACAGGAAGGAAGAAAAGGTAGTAGGGAGGAGAGGCCGAGAGGGTGACACTTTAAACCCTAACCTGAACGGTCAGTCTGGTAATAAGGAGTTAGGTAGAGATCACAAAGGGGATAGACAGAAGAGTCAAAAAGATTGCCAGAGGTTAAGGTGCATGCTAGGAAAAATGATGCAGGAGCAGATCACTTCAAGCCTGTCCTGGGCCTGGAGTATGTATGTATGTATGTGTGTATGTATGTTATATATTGAATTATTTATAAATATTACATATGATGCATATAATATATATTTATATAATATTTTAAACACGTTAACAATTTAACATATATTTTATATATACCCATGAAAAAAGCCTTTGTACAACCAGAGTCTGTACAACAGTGGAAAGTACCAAAAAAGACTTTAGGTAATTATTTCTTGTGTGTTTACATAGATTTTTAAACTCAAAAATAGAAACTCTAATTTGTCTGCCCAGCCCATGATCACCCCTATTTGAGAGTGAGCTGCAGTAGGAAAAAAAGTGAGCTGGATTTACAAAAGTGTGATGCAGATTGCAATGGAGGAATTCATGGAAGGAGGGGAACAGGAGATAGACGTGATAAGAAAGTAAAGATAAGAAAGATAAGAAAGTAAAGGAGACTTTGAGAGTTGCAAAACCTGAGTTTGTACTGATTCAAAGTCTAAGTTGGGAGGTCTCAATAGAGCTCAATAATAGTCAGGTAAGAAGAGCATATGGTCATCTAGGAGTATTAGTTGGTTTTCTTTGTGGGGGGTGAGACATCAGGGCTAGTCACAACTTGTGGAAGAATGAATTTTTTGAATGCAAGGAACTAATTGAAAGATTCTTTCTTAGTTAAACTGAGGAATTAGTTGGTTTATGGCACCTTCTTTGAGGGGAGGGGGGGATGAGACATCAGGGCTAGTCACAACTTTGTGGAAGAATGAATTTTTTTGAATGCAAGGAACTAACCGGAAGACTCACTTTCTTAGTTAAGCTGAGGAATTTGCAAGTCAGATTTAATAATCTTAATAAAGGGAGCACTAACATCATTTCCAACATTCATTCAGTTCTCACTCCTTGATTGCCATGTGTATGTCTATTAATTGGTTATTACTTTTACAATGGCTACTGCCTTTACCAAGTTTGTCGTTCTTTCTTTAACTTGTTTCTTACCTAAGTGCTACTGTGGTCTGTGGGTTTCCCATGGATGCCAAGTAGAATGCATGTGGTAATGAAGAATAGTAAATTGAATTCAACGAGTGGTTTCAATATTCTTATCTTTATAAAACATAGAAAGATTATTAAGAAAGTGATCTCAACTTCAATGCTCATATGAGCAACCATTAAAGTTGTTTACAAGTTCATACAGTAAGAAGTTTTCAAGACATCAAAGCTTTTGGTGCTGAATAACATGTTAACAGATGACAGGCTACCATATTATATTTGGGTTCTCTAAAGACAAACCAAATTATAAGCCTCTGTTTTCTTTTTATTTATTATTAATATTTTTATTTTCTTTATTTTTTCCTTAATTTTATTTCTACAAAATACATGCGACTTAATACGTAAGTGTTCATTTCATGATTCAGGTTCTTGATCGTGGGGAGAAGATAGAGCTTCTGGTGGATAAGACTGAGAATCTCCATAACCAGGTAGATGCTTTTCTCATTGGCACTTGTACTCAAGACATGTTCTTTTTTATATTATTTTCTTGTTTTGGTTTGAACTAATCGTTAGAGCTGGGATGTTGAGTCCGACAAAATTCATATTTCAATTATGTCCTGATCTTGTTGTGGAAATAAAACCATGTTACAGGCTCAGGACTTCCGTAACACAGGAACTAAGATGCGTAGGAAGATGTGGCTGCAAAATATGAAGATCAAGCTGATTGTGTTGGGGATTTTGATTGCCTTGATTCTTATCATAGTTTTGTCTGTCTGTCATGGGTTCAACTGTGGGAAGTGATCTCTTCATTGAATACATGGAAAGCATGGTTTGTGGTCGTCATAGTACCAAAGCCTCCGCGTGCATATACTGCACAGAAAAGATGTGAGTCATGATTGTGTATTTAGAAAAAAAACTAGGAAGTAGATATGTTGTATCAGATAATTGAATACATTGAAAATATATTTGTTGAGACTAGAGCGACTCTATGCAATATGAGATAGTACTGTTGAGATGTTAATTAAAATGAAATGAAATTGTGCTACAGGTGGTTCTGTTTTTGTGGTGGCCATCATGGGGGAATAATGTATAATAAGTAATTCTTGAACCTATCTATCCATTATCTTCTTCTGGATGGATAGAAAAGATGCTCTTAGTAACTTTATCAATGCAAGCCTCTGAATGGAACAAGAATGCTCAGGCAGGAAGATTCACGTTGGGTTTCTCCTCGTCGAAGGGATCTCTTGCAGTTGCTTTATTTTTAGGGGTTTTTACTGTTCAGTCCACCCCAGAAATTATTTTTTTTTACAAGTATTATTACTACAGTACTTCTATTCCATGTGTTAAGTGGAAATACCAAGTACACAACCTCAACGGGTCAACCATGTTCCAGCCAATAATCTTTCGAGGCTCCTTATTGGTTCAGAATTTTGGATCCAGTGACATGGCAAGCCAGATGCCCTAATCGGTTTATAAGCCCTTGTAGTACCACACCCAACCCAAGCCTGTCCTTGATGATGTTGGGTAATACATTTGAACAGTGGAACATGATTGTTATAAATTCACTAGGATTTATTCAATATGCGATTGAGGTGCTATTTAGTTGTACTCAATTTTGTACCTTTCTAACCAATTTCCTTTAGGCTGTGTTTGATTTGAAGGAAGAAATAGGGAAAGGTAGGGAAATTTATACAAGGTTTATAAAGGTTTTTTTACATTTCTCCTCTTTTCTCTATCTTTTCTTTCAAACCAAACATAGCTTTAATATCAACCTCCCTAAGAAAAAAGAGAGACAAAATTAAAATCCAAGAGGAAAAGAGACAATGGTGCAAGGCTTGAAGTATCAGTTACCGGTCAATATGCATCGTTTTCTTTTTTTTTTATATTTTTTTAATTTTTTTTTTAAAGTAGGGTTTTCAAGTTATTGACATGCGGGCACAATGGCCAAAATTTATTTCTTCCTCTCACTCACAATTATTAAATTCTTTTCATTCAAATTCAAATTTATACATTATCCAGCTCATTAATTCTGCAACTCACGATTCTTACGGTATGCTTACCAGAAAAAAGAAAAAAAAGATTCATCATCAGGTCTTATCCCAATTTTACCGCTCAGCTACATGAATCCTGTTTCACCATCCATTCTCTTATGATTAATGCCATATTCATTATTAAATTATTGACACACAAATCATTTATTTCTATTTTTACCCATGCTATTTATGGTCTACCTGTAGCCCTTCTAACCTCTCAATTTGTAACAAATAAGATTTTATGAGTGAAATTAATGGTCTTCTGTACATGTGACTAACCATCTTTTATAGTATAAAAATTACAAATGAGATTTGAACCCAAGTCTTAAAGGTTATAAGGCAACAATTCATAAAAGAAGGGTGCTACAATTCCACTAAATATGTATTATTAATGTTTATAATTTATATATTTATGAATATCAACAAGAATTGTTTTGGTTTATAAAGAATTAAGTTGCATATTCATATTTTTAATTCTTTTTTCATTTTTCGACCTGTTTTAAAAATGTACACTTTATATTATAAACTATCAACGTAGTTCACACTTGTAACTGTCAATGTAATTATTTCCCAAGGCTCTATGTACTTTTAGGATAATAAAAAACAAGTGGTCAATAACCCATCCAAAAAAAAAAAACATGGTCGGTAGATCCCAACTTGAAGGATATGGGATCCTGTTGCCACCAGGGTTGGGGGTCAAGACTCAAGGGTATGAGGGATGGGTTGCCCCGTTGTGATGGATGCAAACAAAAACTCTGAACATACTCTGAAAGCATGAAAATTCAGCTACATTGGGACTTTTCACCATGAATTTAATACACATATATAGGGATATTCTCAATATGCGGTCGGAAATGTTATGTAAGCAGAGTTTTTGCTTGCAGGAGATCCAGGCTCTCCTTGTTGTGTGACCTGTGAAAAAGAAACTCCCAAATATATAATCATACAAATTCATATCCTTTTGCACAAGGTTTTTAAAACCGACTTGGAGAACGAACCAGTCAGGGGTCCGGTTCTCGGGAAAATAAAAAACGGTCAAAACCGTTCGAATGGTTAACTGCCCGGGTCAGTGGTTTACTGACCGACATCAAAGGTTTTTGGCAAGAATCTGATTTTGGGGAATAATGGAACCAATTTGGTTCCTAATTTTCCAGTCCGACTGTTCGGTCTGGTCCGGTTTTGAAAACCATGCTTTTGCAGATCAACCATAAGGGGGCCTACACAAAATGTTCCAAATCAGTGGTGTAAGGGCTTGTTTGTTGCCTCTTAATGTTGAATGCTGAAAAGCGTTCATGCATTTTTAGAGGGAACCAGAGCATTTGGTTCCATTTTTTCACTGTAGCCTTAATGGCTAATCCACCATTTCTTTTTTGATGATTCCATTTTTTGTTTTCAAAAAATTATGCCTGAAATCGTTCTCCATTTATGTATATTACAATTTGAAAACCCTATAATTTAGAAATTAAAATTATTTATTAATTATCTATGTATTATTTATTTACCTATTTAATATTTATTAACTAGTAGTATTTATTTTATTATTCATTATTTTAATTAAATTATAATGAATTATGAAATACATAATTGTAAATTACTAATTTATGTAATTAATTAATGATTTATTATTATTATTATGAATTAGATAATGAATAAAGATTATGAATAATTAGTTACATAATTAATAATTATGTAATTATTTATTTTAAATAATTATTAATTAATTAATAATTATTCAATTCTTTAAAAATATTTAATTATTTATCAATATTATTAATAAATTATTTTATATTTGTTTTATTAATCATCAATTAATTTGTTAAATAATTAAACACATTTGGTCATATCCAAAGTTAAAATGATCAATTGTCATTTTTCAGAACTCAGCATTGAACAACATTCTTTATATTTTAAACTTTATTGCAGAAGATGCCAAACCTTAGATGTCAAACTTTATATTTTAAACATTATTTCAGAACAACATTCAAGTTTTAGATTTCATAACTCAACCTTCAGATTTCAGACATTTAGACGTCAAGCTTTAGTGCAAACGAAGATGCCCTAAGTGTTGCATTCTCATCTTTGAGGGGTACCAGAAACTCCCAACTGGATTCGAATCTGCGCCCCACCGATTTGGCCCCCAAAATCGTCCCACACTATCAGAAGAGGCCGCGTGTCCTCTCACACGCATGCATTTCAGTCTCGTGCAGAGTTAAATGAGACGGCCGTTAACTCCCATTTCGCCCAAAAAAGTGAGTTTTTCTCTTTCAAGTTTCAATCTCAGTCTCTCACTCCTATTGACCTGCCCTCTGAAACCCAGACCACCCTATCTCCTCCCTCGTCGGATCTTTCCGAGAAATCCAACACTGACGATCGTTTCGGTAGATACGTCGGAGGTACGTACTCCCCATCTCTCTCATCTCAGATATTCTCAAATATGTTTTTTTCAGTTTTTTCTTTTTAATTTCTTCTTTTTTGCAATTGAATAAACGCAGAAGGAAAGAATCGCGAAGATACAGGTGCTGGCTCTGGTTAAGATAAAGGCTTGAAACAATGTCAATAATGTCTTTATATGTTATTCCCAGAAGGCTCTTTGTCTTGATTATGCACAAACCGACTGCTTTCTATCTTTAAATTAACGACTATAGGAAAAGGATTCATCATTTTCCTTGATGGAAGCCAAACTGAATTAATTTACGCAACTCAACCTCCAACTACTCTTGATTTCCCTTTAAAGTACAAAAACACATCATGGCTCAAAATCAAGTTCTGAACTTGTTTATGAGGTCTTCAGCTTCAACCCTCTAATCTTTTTTATTTTTTATTTTTTTGAGAGAATCAACCCTCTGGTCACAAAAACGATTGTGCTCGTCTAACCCACACAATTGTTATAGTTTTAATTAACGCCATCTTCATTCCTTAAATAACCATGAAATTTGCTCTTATCCCTTCACTGCGTATCAGCCCAGCCGGAGGCATTCCATGGTTAAACTCAAATCAGTGAATTTAGAGCGGAGTATTGCAGGAGGAAGAGAGAACATATTAGAGAATATCTTCCGGCGATTCTTCCCTTCTGCGTTTTTCTATTGTATAAAAAAGTTAAAAAACTGAAAAAAAATATTTGAGAATATATGAAATGAGAGGGATGGAGAGTTCTGGTGTATCTGCCGGAATGATCATCGGCGTCGGATTTTTCGGGAGAGGAGATGGGACAACCTGAGTTAAGAGGGCAGGTCGATAGGAGTGAAAAGACTGAATTCAAACTCGAAAAAGGAAAACCCCATTCAACACTTCAATAGTTGATCAAAAAAAAAAAAAAAGAAGATTTGATTTCACCCTAGCCAGATTAACTTTGGCAAAGACCAATCGAAAGATATTCCTAATAAACGGCGGAGATGTACTGTGGGACGTTGTGGGGCGCAACCGCCTGGGCCACGCACGGTTTGACTTCAGAGTTCAGACTTTGATAAATTGCGATACCGAGTTCCGAGTAACCGAGAATGAGGTATGGGAATCGATCCCATAACCCCTACCTTCAGAGGTCGACGTTGCTACCATCTCTACTGGAAGATAATTAAGTTGGTTTTTTAGTTACATCTCCTTTTAACCAGAAACTAGAAGAAAAACAGGACGACATTCATTCTTCATACCGCGAAGATCGATCAAAAATTTATAGTTTTTATTCTCAGAAACACTTAACAAATGGAAACAAATGTATAACAAAAACAGAGACTATCTTCTTCTACTTCTTCTGTTGAAGCTTTTCTCATCGCCATTTTCGTCATCGCTATTATTGTTATTATGACTGGTATGCCAAGAAACCCTTTTTCCTCCTCTGCAGACTCCATTCCTCAATCCCACTTCCAGACCTCTAAACCCTAGCCCCAGCTTGAATCCCACAGTTCCCCTCTCAACCGGCAACACTCTCTTCTTCTCCTCCTCCTCCTCTTCCTCCCAATTCCCCTTCTCGCATGCAGCAGAAGCAGAGCCATGGACGCTCCCATCCTCCTCTTCCTCATCTCCCCAGCTTCTCCCTCCTCTACGTACCCCACTGGTTCCACCTTCCTTATACGTGCTCGGATCAGGAAACGGGGGCAGCCATGGCGGGATGTGAGGCAACGGGGGCTGGTCCCGCAGCTCCCGCTCGAGATTCCGTCTGGGTTTGACGGAACATCGCGAAATAACTAATCTTTTCGAACGGGGGATCGGCTGGGCGAAGGGGATTTCATCGACGGAGCCGACGAAGTTCATGATGTCTCGCATGGTTCTGGAACTTAACAGGGGTCTATCGGTTGCAGAAGCGCCCTGAAAGCCTTGTGGCGAATTCATGTACTCGATCGCGTGGATGGCATCGAAGAGGTTGCACTCGGTTCTGCCGCAGGAGCTGGCGTTCGACGAGGCGGATTTCGCTAGGGCCCGGAGGTACCTGGTTGCGACGTCGGAGAGGACTTCGAGGGCCGAATGTTGGGCGCCGGTGAACCCAATCGATACGCAGATTTGAGCCACCGCGACCTTGGCGATGGCGAAGGAGAAGAGAGATGGATCTCCGGGTTGCCCTCTGCTTCCACTCATGGCGGTTTCGTCTGGTAGGAAGGATTCGCAGGTGTTCATGGAGGCAAGGGAATGGCGTAAAAAACCTCCAAAACCCTAGCGGGTGGGGAAGAGTAGTCTGTTTAAAGGGTATAATTGGAATTTCATGGTTACCGATTGAAAAAGGAAAGAGTTTGAAATTCGTTGTTTGTTTGGGAATTGGGATCTTGGATTTAAGGGCAGATTTGGAATTCAACCAAATCCACTTTGGTTAAATTCTGTAGGCTGTGGCTGTCATGATTCCCCTTGTTGAAGGAGAACTGGAGAAAACAGATGAGAGCCAGAGCCAGAGAATCTTTGCTTGGCTGCATCAACTCTCAACGTGCAATGGCGCGAAAGTTTTGAAAAACAGTTAACGCGACATGGCTTCAACTACCCATTTCACCACGTCGACCACTATTCACAATCCATCTCTCCCACTTCCGTCTACTGCCCACCACGGCACCCACCATCTTCTCTCCGCCGATCGAGCTGCGCTTCTGATTGACAAGGCCAAAAGCGTAAACCAGCTTCTCCAAATCCACGCGGCCATTCTCCGACACGGATTGGAGCAGCACCCCATTTTGAATTTCAAGCTCCAGCGCTCTTTTTCCTCTCTTGGTCGTCTCGACTACTCTCGCTCCCTCTTTGATCGCACCCACAATCCGAATGTGTTCTCATGGACTGCAATCATCCATGGTTATGCCCTCCATGGCCGCCACCAAGAGGCCGTGGTTCTCTATTTTCAAATGCTTTCCAATGGGGTTGAACCCAATGCTTTCACCTTCTCGTCCATCCTGAAGGCCTGCCCTCCTGAACTGGGAAAAGCTCTCCACTCCCAAGTCCTCAAATTTGGGTTGGATTCTGATGTCTATGTCAGAACGGCGCTCTTGGATGTGTATGCACGGGGCGGGGATGTTGTTTCGGCATGCCAACTATTCAATACAATGCGGGAGAAGAGTGTGGTTTCTATTACTGCTATGATTACTTGCTACGCAAAGCATGGGGATCTTGGTGAGGCTCGAGTGTTATTTGACGGGATGGAGAAGAGGGACGTAGTTTGCTGGAACGTGATGATCGATGGGTATACTCAGCATGGGCGACCAAATGAGTCTTTGGATCTCTTTAGACAGATGTTGTCTGTAAAAGTGAGGCCTAATGAGGTGACAATGATCTCTGTACTCTCTGCTTGCGCACAGCTTGGAGCACTAGAACTGGGTAGGTGGTTGCATTCTTACATCAAGAATAATGGGATTCAAGTCAATGTTCATATTGGTACTGCACTGGTTGACATGTATTGCAAATGTGGGAGCCTAGATGATGCTCGTGTGGTGTTTGACGGAATGATCAATAAGGATGTTGTGGCTTGGAATTCAATGATCATGGGGTATGCGATGCATGGTTTCAGCCAAAGTGCATTGGTATTGTTTTCTAAAATGTGTGCGATGGGGTTCAGCCCAACAGATATTACATTCATCGGCGTTCTAAATGCTTGTAGTCGTGCAGGTTTGGTTACTGAGGGGTGGACTTTATTCCATTCCATGAAAGAGCAATATGGAATTGAACCCAAAATTGAGCATTATGGGTGCATGGTTGATCTTCTAGGGCGTGCTGGGCAATTGGTTGAAGCATTTGAACTTGTTAAAACCATGGCAATTGAGCCCGATCATGTTCTTTGGAGTTCATTGCTTAGTGCTTGTAGGCTCCATGGAAATGTCACATTAGGGGAGAATATAGCTGAATTCCTTGTTTCTAGTGGTCTTGCAGACTCAGGAACTTTTGTTCTACTCTCTAACATCTATGCTGCAGTGGGTAATTGGAAAGGAGTGGCAAAGGTGAGGACCATGATGAAAGATAGTGGTGTGCAGAAGGAGCCAGGGTGTAGCTCGATTGAAGTGAACAACAAGGTACATGAATTTCTCTCAGGTGACTTGAAACACCCAAAATGCAAAGATATTTATGCAATGTTGGAGGAGATGAATGGATGGCTCAAGGCCCATGGATATACTCCACAGACAGATACAGTGTTGCATAATATTGGAGACTCGGAGAAAGAACATGCACTTGGAGTTCACAGTGAGAAGCTTGCAATTGCTTTTGGGCTTATCAGTACCCAACCAGGTACCGCGATTAAGATTGTGAAGAACCTCAGAGTTTGTACAGACTGCCACACTGCAACCAAGTTGATTTCAAAGATCACAGGTCGTAAGATTGTTGTGAGGGATCGAAATAGATTCCACCACTTTGTTGATGGGTCATGTTCTTGTGGGGATTATTGGTGAACTGCATTTATTGAGCCAGATTATTAACAGAAGCAGCTCCTCTGGGGAACGTTGTTGTATCATAAGTAAATTTTTCAATGAATTAACTATTAATTGAGCAATTATTTTATCTTTTCTTTTTTATTCCTATTTGTCTTGTACTCATCTGTATTACACAATTTGTGTTGTCATACATGACAATGACATCCTTGTTGATGTAATGCTGCACTGCAGACCGATCTTGACTGTATTTGGATAAGAAGTTTCATGATCCTGATTCAAGGATTTGGGTCTGATTGTCTGAATGTAATTTTTGGTATGCATTGTAGGTTGTTTAGCCATTAACTGTGTAATGGATGCTATTATCTTTATGATCGGGCACCGTTTTGAGTTCCAATTTCAAAATTTAATGCTCTTCCATATGCTGATGCTGTTTTTTTAGTTAAAACTGTCTATGCCTTTTTTTCCTCTTCTATTATTGGTAGAAGTGTAGAGCCCTAGGAGTAGCTTTGAGTTGGGTTCTTTTTTGCAGAATTAGAAAACTGGTCTCTCTGCTAATATTTGCCATCTTCACTGATCAGAGGTTGAAAAATCTCGTTGCTTTACTTTATTCTAGGTAAATTACAGAGTACGGACACGCCCTGTATTTAGGAGGTTGTGAGACTTTGACCCCTGGATTCTGTTTTGCGACAAAGACACCATGCACTTTTTGATTCCCTTTGCCCCTGCAATTACCATTTTGTCAGAACTACATGGGATATTTCCATGTGGTTGTTATTTGTGGGTTTATACATTTTTGAAACCCCATATTGCCTTCATCACTTCATGTTACTTTTTGAGACCATTTTACATTTCAAAAGCTCTCTCACATGTTTCTCTCAAATCTCTCTCACCAAAGGTTAGGGGTAATTAATGCCTTCTGTGTAACAGTGTAAGTGCTTTTAACAAGCAGGTTTCGGTCAAATCATTTGGTAAAAGTATACTTTAGAATGGTTTTTTTTTTTTTTAAATAGATTTTGGGTTAGGGACAGGTTTTGGGATTTTACAAGTAGGGTATGGCATTAAGCATTATGTGTTGGATGGTGTCTTTGTTATTGTAAGGCAATATGAACTTATCTATTATGTGTTGAATTTAATAATGTTTTGAGTATTATGTGAAGGACAATTGATAGTTTGTTTATTTTGTTTTAATTAAATAATTGGAAATTTTTATGTCTATTTATGTTATTCATTTGCTTATTATTTAAGTATAATGAGTATCAACACTTAATTTTTGTTTGGTCCCTTCACCCTATTTCTTTATGTCTTCCATTTAGACCTCCAAAACTTGAAAACATAACCAGACCAACTTGAAACTTGTTAAAGCCCAAAGTCCCTTTTGTGAATTAAACACCTTCCCAAACTACACAAATAAACTTAAAATTAATGAGAATATTAAGATCAACATTAGACATTACATAGGTTTTAGTTCCCCAATCATATACGATCACTAAACTTGGGAAACTATAACTTAATTACACATTGTATTTCATGACCAAATTCCAAAGATTTATTGTTTATCACACCAACTTTCTCTTCAATGGTTTTGATCTACGCATTATTAGAACCTTGACTCCACACGAAATCAAATCCGATACATCCATTGCTTTAAGGATATTAAGATACAATTAATCCCCAAATCCCATTGCAAACCTACGATGATCAACTATAAAAAATGTCAAGATTTCATTTCGATGGCCTTGGATGAATAAAACAAGACAACTAAGTTCAACAAATATTTTCTTAGGTCCAAACCTTTAATTCGATTTCTCATCTTAATCCATGTCCACATGCTAAATTTCAATTCAATATTCTCTTGTTTAACCATCCAATTAATAAAGATTCTAATTTGGTACTTATAATTAAATCACACAAGAAATTATAACCTAAGCACCCATACCCCTCTCATTAACTCTAAAATCCTTAATATAATTATCCGGTTTTAGCCTTAAATTCCTTCATTTCCTTCCAAAATAAGTAAGATTCCATTTTAAACTTTCTCATTGGTTGTTTGGTTAATGATCCATAAGTTAGAACCTTGATTCAAACAAAATATTTTAATTTACTTTTATGATTAAAGATCCAATTTTTCTAATCGGATTCATAACATTTAAAAATGTTTATCCACCAAATTTCATCCTAAGATTCCTTTATTTTACCCACCATCAAGCCAAGAATATATTTTAACAAATTTTATTGATTAGAGATTATCGGCCATAGATTTCCATTACCCAAACCTCATTTTACTAATAGAACCTTACCACTATGATCAAAGACCCGAAAAAACCCTAGTACATGAAATTTCATGACATAATTCACCCATTTGACCATTAAACTATATGTATTATGTTTCGACACACTATATTAAATCGCCCCTTCATCTGTCTTAACTTTAGACTTTTAAGAAGGTAGAGGTTGATGTCATCCCTATATTTGACATTTTAAAACACTTAGGTGGTGTTTGATAAATTTGAAATTTGAAGTTTGAAAAGTTGAAAAAATATTAAAAGTGTGTGAAATCTGAAAAGAGGCATGAATGCTTTTCTACTTTTTAGATGGTTGAATAGATAAAGTAGTTTGTGTTTTATCAACCTTTCAACATCTAAAAATTTCTAAATTACTATTTTACCCCTAAAACAGATTATGTGGAAATTTTGAGTTCAATTTTCATTATTTCATATAAATAAATTATTAAATTCAAAATAATATAAAAAATATAAGTAAATTATAAAAAATAAAAAATAATTTATTAAAATTAGAATAAAATTGAAAAATTATAAAAATTTATATTAAAAATAAATTATTAAGAGTTAAAATAATAATGAAAATAGTAATAAAGTCCAAGAAACAATGAAAAAAATATTTAATAATTATCAAATTATTAAATTATTAAATTAAAACTATTAAATATTTAAAATTTTGTAAAATTAAAATAATTAATAATTAATACAAATAAAAATTATAAAAAAATAAAAACATTGATATTTAATAAATTTATAATTTGATAATTATTATAAATAAATTTATAAGTTAAAATTCAACTTCTCTCTACCACTCTTGAAACCTTCCCTACTACTTTCTTCTCTCTCTCATGAACTCCATAGACACAACCACCGAGCTAGACTCAGAACCCAAGCCGTTCAAATCTCCGTCAACTCCCCGGTGTTATCTGACTCCCCACCGGAAAAGAGCATAGGAGTTGTTGTTGGAGCTAGGTTTCAGATCTTCATTACTACCTGGATCGAGGGTTTCCTTTAAACAAACGTTGTCAATGGATTTATCCTGGATCGGGGGTTTCAGATCTTCATTACTGCCTACCTCGAACAGCACCACCTCCGGCCGACTGAGAACAACGATAGTGGCAGCTGGCTAGAAGAGAGAGAGAGAGAGAACAGGACCGTTGCTAGTTGACTGAGAACAACGACAGTGGCGGTCGACGGGAAGTCAGGGGAGAGAAAACGCGAGAAAGCGGGATGGAGGGAGAGGGAAATCGAACAGGACTGATGACTGAGAACGCCACTGCTGAGAAATTGAACAGGATTGCCGTTGGCCGATTGAGAATAACGGCAGTGGTGGCCAATGAATATAGTGTTTCTTCGAGTTCTCCATCGCCATCTCACTTTGAGTCTTGTCCCTACGTCACCGATGGTTAGGAGAATAAAAAAAATTGGGTTTAAAAAGGGATGTCCATTTCAATATTATGAGGGGTGTTTAAGATTTTCAAACACATCTGAAACGTGTTTGAGCGCGTTCAGTGATGGCCCACGATTTAAACATTTCAGATTTGAAACTCAATTTCAGATCAATTTTAAGATGCATACCCAAACGCTTCTGGAGTCTGAAAAGAAATGTTTTCAGACTTCAAACCTCTTAAAAGCGATATCAAATGCCAGTTTAGACTAATTAGGATAAGCCAAATAGACTAAAAGAACTCAAAAACCCCAAAGGAATCATTCTTGGGCATAAGAAGTGACATAAAGGCCATTATGGCCATTTCAAATTTACGTTTTTGCCACTGAGAGGTCAAATTTGAACATGACATAGGCTCAAAAGTAACACCATTAAGGCCATGTTTGGGAGTGCTTATGTTAAATTGAATAAGCACTTATTTGCATTTATAAGCACTTATTTTATATTGGGGTTTGGTGGTCCTTTTTCTCTAATAAGCACTTAAACAAGCAATTGTGACTCTTTTGTCCTTCATTTTCTTTCAGATTTTCAAAATATCCAATCCAAAGTGAATGAATAAAAGTACTTTGATAGAAGTGATTTTATAAAAGTGCTTTCATAAAAGTATTTTGATAAAGTATTTCTGTAAAAATACTTTTATGTGCTTTTGTAAAAGTGCTTTTATAAAAGTACTTATGTAAAAGTGCTTTTGTAAAAGTACGCTCATAAAAGCGTTTTTATAAAAGTACTTTTATAAGAGTACTTTCATAAAAGTGCTTTCATAAAAGTGCTTTTGTAAAAGTACTTTCATAAAAGTTCTTTCGTAAAAGTACTTTCATAAAAGTGATTTTGTAAAAGTAATTTCATAAAAGTACTTTTATAAAAGTGCTTTCATGTAAAAGTACCTTTATAAAAGTGCTTTCGTAAAAGTATTTCTAAAAGTACTTTTATAAAAGTACTTTCATAAATGTGCTTTCGAAAAGTATTTTTTATAAAATTACTTTTATAAAAGTGCCCTTGTAAAATTACTTTTGTAAAAGGATATAATTGGTATTTTAAAAATTTATCGGGGACAATTTTGGGAGAAAAATTTGAATAAGTGCTTATTGAATGAGCACTTAAAAAAAGCTAGAAATTTGGGCTTAACAAGCCCATATTTTTAAAATAACCACTTATTTCGGGCTTATTTTCCAAACACCAATAAGTGCTTATTGGTTTGGTCCTTGCCAAAATAAGCACTTATTTTTAAGCACTCCCAAACATGGCCCAAGTATGAGAAACCCTAGGAAAATTCATAAAAATCTTGTATTGATTGATTAGACCCTCGAAAATCCTCCAAAAACCCTATTAGATTTAGTTTCTTAGGCCTTCTTGCATGTTTAGGATTTCTTGAAGCCTAAGGCTTGTGATTAGGCAAGTTTCAGACTTGGGTTTCCTTCTCTTTCTTTATAAATAGAGACCTAAATTGAGCCCAAAAAAAGGGGGGGGGGGGGGGGGGGGGAGCCTAGAAGCATTTCTAGCTACTATAGAGGTTTTGTTAAATCTTTGAGCCTTAAACTTCAAATCTTCCCAATGTGTTTCAGATTTCAAATTTTCAAGAACCCTTTAGCCCTTTGGTAGACTTAGAATCTCCTTGATATTAAAGATCGAATGGAAGCATTCCAATA